CAATTGTCCTTCATATTCGTTCAGTTCAGTGTTGGAGGGATTCTTGTGTGGAGTTCTAGGGAAGGAGTCATGAATTTGCAAGGCGACAACAGATTCAAGGGCTTCAGAGAAGAAAGGGAAGCTGGAGATAAGATAATAGTTTATGTGGACAGTGGGATTAGGATCGTCTGAGGGACTTGGGGATTTGAAGATGAGGGCTGTGTCATGGGAATGGCAAAGGTGACAGAGTATAATGGTTTTAGTGGAGAACAGAGAATTAAAGATGGTGGTGAGGTGCAGTTCAGCAGTTTGGTAGCAACATAAACATTGCAGTGAATGAAGGGCCAAAGGCTGGAAAGTTGGAAGTGCATTTGGAAGTGAATCGGAGAAAATCTTCTCCACATGCAGATGGATAGGAGGCAGAACTGGGAAGGAAAGGAGAATGTAGATGGAAAGTAACATAAGGGAGTATTCAGATATGACCTTCTCTTTGACAGATACTATGGAAATAGTGAGGTCATGTGAGTTAGCAAGTTGGCAAGGTGAAGGAGGTGGGTTGGGGAGATTACATGGAGTTAAAGTTTAAGGGAGGAGAGTGAACAGAGGGGAGAAAGCATGGTGAATCACAATGGAAGTCAAAATCACAAGCGTTCAGAAGTCTCTGTGTGCAGATGCTCAATGAGAGAAATGGCATGGTACTTATATTCATGGTTGAAAACAAGGTTTTTAAGTCACAGAACAAAGTGAGAAGCTCAAAGGAGGAGAAATTGCAATGAAATAAGGGAACAAGTTACGATTGGAGCCACACTCCTACTGCGATCATCTGGGCAAAACAAATCCTGAAAGTGACATCCATCAATTTGAAAACTGATTATTACATTCCCATTTTTCAGGCAGAAACAAAATCTTATCATAGTATTTTTATTAGTTTTGAACACTACATACAAGGTGTTAAAATTAAAGAACATGTTTGATGAGGAAGACATTAATGTACTTTCAGATTTACTCCAGCAAAGTAACTAAATGACATTTCTGGAAGCAGACTTCAGCTGTTTTACTGCATAATATGGTATGACGAACATAATAATTCACATTTAAAGATTGCAAACAGTCGTCCCTTAATTCTTTCTCCTCTTTCATGAAATGAGAGTCATTAGGGATATGAGACAAGGACTACCATTTAGAAATTTCCATTTAACTTTTTTTGAAAATTACATATTTCCTCAATTCAGGTACATCGCCCTGATTTTGAGCAGCAAAACCTCATCAAGTGTATGCATGGGTCAAGAAAGACAGTCCTCAGCAAAGAAGCACTGTAAGTGGTGGCCACACCAGAATTGTTGTAATCTGCCAATTATGGTAATCATACTTAGGCAGATTTCACCTTCTTCTTAGGAATGGTGCGGTCTACCCTCTCAACTTGACCATTTAAAATGTAGCCTAGGAGAACCAAAGTACATTTCCTACCGAAGTTGGACTCAAAATTTGGTATTAAGGTGGACATATAAATACGCATTGATAGTTAGTAGCACGTTGCGAACTGCATTACTTTCTGCAGTCATGAGGGATATCAATTTTGCAGTAGCTTGTTCCTTATTGCTAATATCATTCCACCATATTTTTTGCTGGGCAAGTCGCAAGGAAACTTGTTGAGGATAAGTATCCTTCTGCAGGTTCCTGAGGATTTTGACGATTCTGATGAGGTTCGCCAAATGACATGTGTGGTAACGTTTGAGGAACAATGTCACCAATTGTCAGTTACTAGGATTGCTGGGAACTGAAGGTCAATCACCAGGGACTGAAATTTATGAGCGCTCATCAGGTGAGTTTTAGCTGGGTGGGAGAGTGACATGTAAAATAAGGTTTGGTGCCCAGCCCACCACCAACCCACCAACAACCCCACGAGCTCACTCCCACCATATGGAGGCTGGGTGTTCAGTGAAATTGGCAGCCTGCCCATCATATGCAAATAAATAAGGGGTAACTGAGCTTGTTGAAATGTTTTATTATGCTGTTCAATCGTGCTGGCTCAGGGATGAAGTGAGCTTGAGCTGAAACTTGAACCATTGCTTCTCTTTGGAAAGCTATTGCAATTTCATGTACATTTCACAACAGGGTTATCAAACGAGTCAAGAGCCTAATCAGAGAAAAGTACAATTTTCCAGTTCCCACACCACCTTATCTTGTTGTCTCTGAGAATGAGATTGCCTATTTGTTAAAAAAAAGTGGGTACCTTTTTTTTGTGGCAGATCAGAGACAAGCCAGAAGTGGCTTTGATCTTTTGGTCTGCCTGGATTTTAACATAGGAGTACAAGGACAGCCTGCCCGCCGTTCCATCCAATTTTCATTTATCACTTTGCACATCAGTTTTCTTCATGAGTTACATTCAGGTTTTAGGCAACCGGCAATGGAATATCTGAAATTGTTCACACTATGAACACTGTAGTCAGTCCTTCTGGTGGTTATGGTGCACTCATCTTGTGAAATTAATATGGCTTTTCAGGCTGTTGCTGTGGTAGCTATCAGCCAGAGCCAGGCATTTTGCTTTGAGTGAACATGCAGGTAAAGCAGCACAGAATTTCAGCAACAATAACGTCTATGTGTTTGTTTCATTATCATTTTCATCCCACATTGCTGGAAGCTGGAGACTGATCCTGGGTACAGTTTAATAGGCTGGGCGGATCTCCCTGATAACTTATTTAAACAACTATTAATATATGGCGTTAATGCCAGTAACTGGAGGCATCTCAACCGAGCCTGAACCTATTCGTGTCCAATACCATCTCTACCATCGTCAAGTTATCCCAAATCAAAAACAGGATTATTTGCCTTCTCCTGCTTTCCAGCTGATGTGCTAAAGCCAAACGTGACATTCAGTGCAAATAACACCTAACTCGATGAAGATCAGGGATTGACCCTGGAACTTTCTGGATCTACCCTGGAACTTTCTGGATCACGGTTAAGTGAGATATGAATTATAAAATCATAAAATCTTATAGCACAGAAGGATGCTATTCACTCAGTGTGTCTGTGCTGGTCATTATGTAGAGCTATCCACTTGGATCCACTGCCTTGCTCTGTCCTGGTACCCCTGCTAATCTTTCCTTTCAAGAAATCTTCAATTCCAGTTTGAAAGTTGATATCGAACCTGCTCCAGTGAGCCCTTGGGTACCGTATTCCAGATTATTAACTCACTCTGTAGAAAAAGTTCTCATCTCACCTCACGTCCTTTGCCAGACATCCCAAACCTGTGTGTTTTGATTACTAAATACCCAGTCACTGTAGACAACTGCCTTTTCTTTCCAATTTTCCCAAAACACCTCATCAATTTGATCGCCTCTACTAAACTTCCCCTTAACTCTGTGTGCTGTAAGAACAACAACGCCAACTTCTCCATCTTTCCACTTAAAGTTTTCCACCCTTGCATCACCACGCAATACACTGAATGGGCCTTTCAGTCATTCTCGTCTCTCTTGCAGCATTCATCTGCTCGATTTCACACTATGTAACATGTTCACTTAGCTTATCTCATTTTCTTCACAACACTCACATTTAAGGATGTGATTGCACTGGAGTGGGGAGCTGGGAGATTCGACAGCATGTTACCTGGGATGGCACATCTTAGCTATGAAGAGGGGTTAGATAAGCTCAGGTTGTTTCTTTAGAGCAGGGAAGACTGTGAGAGGGGACCTGACTGAGATGTATAAGATTATAAGAGGCATGGACAGGGTGGAGAGAAAGCAGCTGTTCCCTTTAGTTGAAGGGTCAATAGCAAGGGGGCAAGAAAGGTGGGAGGTTTAAGAGAGTTAAAAAAAAGCACAAAAAACCTTTGCCCAGAGGGTGAATCTGGAATACCCTGCCCTGGAGAGTAGTTGAAGTAGGAACCTCACAACCATTACAAAGTGCTTGGATAAGCACCTGAAATATCATAACACTGAAGCCCAAAGTCCAAGTGCCGGGAAGTGGGACTAGTGTAAATTTAGACTAGTTACTGTAGTTGCAGTCTCAATGGGCCAAAGAGCTTGTGTACTGTGTGTTTCTATGATTGAGGTTCGATTTCATTCAGTTGTTTTTTACATTAGCACACATTTTCCTGTCATTGCTCAGTTGGTCAGATTTCAACATTTGTTTTCTCCATTTTTTCCCCTTTTGTCAAACACAAACCCCCTGCTAGAAAGCCAGACGAAGTCCGATTTCCTGGAGAGAAAGCAGAGACAAAGTTTCAGGTCCAGTCACCCTTCTTCAGTTCTGAACAAGGGTCACTGGACTTGAAACATTAACACTGCTTTGTCCCCAACAGATGCCGCCAGACCTGCTGGGTTTCTCCAACTATTTCTGATTTTCTTTCTGATTTCCAGCACGTGTGGTTTAAAGTTAGATTTCCACATTGCTTCCAATGGTGCTATCAAACTAGCCACTAGTATTGGTTTCAGGATGATCCCAGGGAAGGATTCTGAAGTGTTCTCTCAGTCAGTAGGGTATTACCTAGTTATTGTATGATATCTTCCTCTGGAAAGAAGTTACAAAATGAGGAACTTAATTGGAGGTAAGTAGTAGGCCTGAAACCAAGCCTAAAGAATATGATGCTACAGCACATTACAACTGCCACACTGTTAACACAGTGTCACTTAATCTGATGAGGGGTGGATTGTAAATGACTGAGCAGTAATGATATACTCAGCAAGTGACAACAACATTTACCAGGTGAGCTAAAAGGCAATCTTTCAATAAAAATCAAAGGAACTGTGGACGCTGTAAATCAGGAACAGAAACAGAAACTGCTGGAAAAGCTCAGCAGATCTGGCAGCATCTGTGAAGAAAAAAATCAGTTAACGTTTCGGGTTCTGAGGAAGGGTCCGGTGATCCGAAATGTTAACTGTGATATTTTTCTTCACAGATGCTGCCAGATCTTCTGAGCTTTTCCACGTAATCTCTTAAACTTTACCAGGTGAGCTTTAGCTGAATATTTCAAGTATCCTCAAGAGGATAAGCCTGATCTCACCTCAATGATTATTCCATACCTTTAGAGCCTCAGTGTGTGGGTCTTCACCAGATGAAGTTAATTCTTGTGGTCTTTCTGTTTTCCTTTTTACGTCTTCCTCTTCAGATGAAGGGCCTTTGTCACTGATATTGCTGGCTAACTCACCCAATTTCTTCTTTAGTTTTTCTTCTTCTACGTCCGCGTCTGTCAAATCAAAACCCGATGCTTCTGAATCAACTAGGGATGATGCTGGAGCCCCACCAGTGTTGGCTGATGACTGCAAATTCAATGAGAATTTTAAAAAGATTAGATTAAAGCTATTTACATGCATCCTACATCCTCAGGTCTCAAAAGAAGCTATTTATGTAGATACCCTTTGAATATACTGTACAGAAGTAGGTGATTTGGTCTGGCTAGCCTGTACTGCTATTTATTCTACACTGAAGCTTCCTCCCATCCTGCCTTATTTAATTACAACAGCACTATTCCCTTTCCCTTCCAATGTTTTCAAATACATCCAGACCAATCACCTCAACCGCTCCCATTCATTGCAATTTACACCTTCTCATCATTCTTCAGGTAAAGAAGTTTCTTCTAAATTCTCTATTTGGTTGCTGGGCAACTATCTTACTATAGTTCTCCACACCTCCAGCCACTCTTAGTTTAGCACTTTCATTAATGGAATAATTCCTACGTCTACTTTCTCATAATTTTGAAGGTCTCTATTGGGTAATCCATCGGCTTTCTCTGTTCAAGAGAAAAGAGACCCAATCTGTTCACCCTTTCCCATAATTCTGGTATCATTCATTGAATCATATACAGCATGGTAACAGACTCTTTGGTCCAACTTGTCCATGCTGACCAGATATCTTAAATTAATGTACTTCCATGTGCCAGCATTTGGTCCATATCCCTCTAAACTCTTTCTATTCATGTATCTTTCTAGATGCCATTTAAATATAATTGTACTCACCTCCAACACTTCCTCTGGCAACTCAATCCAGATACACCACCCTCTGTGTGAAAAAGTTGCCCCTCAGATCTCTTTCATATCTTTCCCCTCTCATCTTAAACCTATGCCCACTAGTTTTGGACTCCCTGAGAAAAAGATCTAGGCTATCCTCCCTATCCATGTCCCTTATGATTTTCTACACCTCAATCTCCTATGCTCCAGGGAAAATAGCCCCAGCCGATTCAGCATCTCCCTGTAGCTCAAACCCTCCAGTCCTGGCAACATCCTTGTAAATCTCCTCCACATCCGTACAAGTTTAACAACATCTTTCCTAAACATCAAACTATTTATCCTACTGAGTTCTTGTAGTCTTCAACTGATTCATAGATTAGAGGCTATTTGAGGACATACAGTACTTTGGCTTCCCACTTTTAGGTATCTTACATCATCCACCATTATCTGATGGAATATTTGGCAGGCTGGCTCCTGAACATTTTCTTGTTATTCGAGAAAATTAATAATAGAAATCAAAGAAAAAGCAGAACTTTGTAAAAAAAAAATTCTATACCTGTTTTAATTGTAGAAACTGTAAACATATCCCAGTAATAGAAGAACAATTAGTATCATGTTTAAAAAAATAACAGGCAAACTAATGGGACTGAACGCCTATAAATATCCTGAACCTGAGAGCTTACATCCTCAGGTCTCAAACAAAGCTATTGCAGAGAAAATTGATGAACATGCAAACGTAAAAGTTGGAGCAGGTGTAGGCCTTTTGACCCGTCACTCGATAACATCATGGCTGATCTTCGAGCCACTGAAAAATTACAACCACAGAAAGATGCCTTTCAACCCATTCTATTTGCCCTGGATGATAAAGAAGCTAGCCATGATTCTAATCCCATCTTGCAGCAACCGATCCATAGCCTTGCAGGCCACAGCACCTCAGGTGCAGATCCATAGAATCATAGAGTTTTACAGTACAGAAGGAGGCCATTCAGCCCACTGTGTCTACACCACTCGCCAAATGAGCATTTCATCTAGCTCCATTTTCCACCTCTTCTTTGTAACTCTGTACATCACTCCTTTTCAAATAGCAGATGTACTCTCTTTTGAATGTATCAATGAGCCTGTCTCTATCACATTCTCAGGGATCTCAAACATTTTCTCACATTGCTTTTGCTTCTTTTGCCAATTACTTTAAATCCTTGCCCTCCTGTTCTTGACCCTTTCATGAGTGGGAGCCACACTGTCCAGACGCCTTACAATTTTGAACATATCTATCAAATCTCCTCTCAGCCTAGTCTGCTCAAAGAAAAACAGTTCTAACTTCTCCAAACTATCTTTATAACTGAAGTTTCACATTCCTGGAATCATTCTCGTAAATCTCTTCCGCCACTCCTTCCAATACTTTCAGACCCTTCCCAGATTGTGGCACCCAGAATAGAATGCAATATTTTAGCTGAGACTTAGCTAATGCCTTATATAAGGTTAACATAATCTCATTGATCTTGTATTCTGTGCTCAGGTTAATAAGTAACAGAATACAATTTGTTTTATTAATTGCTCTCAATCATTTCTTTCCTTGCCAACAATCTATCTTTGCCTATAACTTATTTCCTCCAAATAACTGAAATATCTTACACAGGGTTAGAAGTCCATACTCATCCTCAGGTTGTCGCCAATTTAAAACTTTAAGCATTGCCACTTGAACATATTATACGCTGGAACCGAGAAGCTTTCCAACAGGAATTTAGTTGGTGGTGTCCAAAGTTTCCCTTCTTTATTTCCACTACAGTCCCCAGATACCATCTGTGGTCTGCTACCTCAGTCACGGGAGTGTTCTGCAACATACCGTTCTGCACATTGAATGTTGGCTGACTATTTAATTGTGGGTCATCACAGAATACCAGTGACCCCTGCAGATCAAACAGGATTGGGAATGTTGGCTGATCCCTGTCCTCTGACTCTGTGGAATCATGGCCATTGATAGTGCTCACTACAAAATAATAATCCAGAAAGCTTTTATTCCTTTGGGCGCTCAGTGATCAATTCATGTAACTTTGGTGGTACACTGGTGACTTTTGAGAAAACCCTTTGGTTTGTAAGTTGAACTGCTGCAATGCTATGATGTCCATCACCAGATGGTTTGTTTGATCATACAGTACTTCAGCCTGCTCTCATTTAGAATTCAGCTCTTTCCCTCAAATTCAATGCGAGCGATCAGTTTTTGAGTTAATGTTTGCGGTCCAGTGACTCTTTCTCAGAACAGGTGCTGCCAGACCTGCTGAGCTTTTCCAGCAACTTCTGTTTTTGTTTCTGATTTACAGAAAGTGCAGTTCTTTTTGTTTTTATTTAATCAGTTTTTGGGTTCAGGAATAAAGTTAACTGATCTATTCTTTAGCACAACAGACTTGTATCAACTGACGGAAAATGCAACCTCTCAGCAGGTAGGAAAACCATTTACGTCAAAAGGTATGTCGAAAAGGATTATGTGTCTTTCATTGAAGGTGTTCCATGTCTTTTCATTCTATGTACAATATATATTCAAAGAACAAAGGACAAAGAAAATTAAAGCACATCAGCAGGCTCTTCAGCCCTCCAAGGCTGTACTGACATGCTGCCCATCACAACTAAAACCCCCTACCCTTCCGGGGACCGTATCCCTCTATTCCCATTCTATTCATGTATTTGTCAAGACTCCCTTTAAAAGTCACTATCGTATCTGCTTCCATTACCTCCCCCAGCAGCAAGTTCCAGGTACCCATCACCCTTTGTGTAACAAACTTGCCTCGTACATCACCTTTAAACCTTGGCCCTTGCACCTTAAACCTATGCCCTACAGTAATTGACTCTTCCACCCTGGGAAAGAGCTTCTGACTGTCCACTCTGTCCATGCCCTTCATAATCTTGTAGACCTCTATCAGGTGCCCCCCTCAATCTCCATCATTCCAGTGAGAACAACCCAAGTTTCTTCAACCTCTCCTCATAGCTAAGAAAACAGGTAAGGATGGCAGTTTCCTTTCCTAAAGGCCATAAGTGAATCAGATTGCTTTTTCCGGACAAACGACAATGGTTTCATGATCATCGTTCAGCTCTTAACTTTAGATTTCTATCGAATTTAAATTGCACCATCTGCTGTGGTGGGTTTCAAACTCGGGTCCCCAGAATGTTACCTGAGTCCCTGGATTAACAGCCCAGCAATAATACCACTAGGTCAGCACCCACGCCCGTGGTATGGAGTGATGATGCAATGTAAAAGGGAGAAGGAAAGGATGTGGCAAGAAAAGTAACAATGAGGAAAGGAACAATGAAGGTCCCACAGGAGCAATAAATAAAAACAACAGAAGCGTTACTAGCACTAGGTATTTGAAAAAAATGGGGACGGTAGTTATGATTTTAAATTGTTCAACCTAATGTTTGACAGCTTTTTTTCAGTCTCTGAGCCTTTCTTCTCATCCAAGACAATTTAGACCCTCCTATTCTGTGAGCTTCAATTTCATTAACCTGTCTTTTATGTAATACTTTGTCACTTTCTTAACATCCATACAGACAACATCTAATGCGTTCCCTTTGACAACCCATTACTTTATCAAAAACATTCAATGAGATTAGACAAACATGCGTCTATTAATTAGCCATTGCGTGCTGCTGTAGAATCATGTTGAATCAAAGGACACTATTTGGCCCATCATGATAATGCAAGCTCTTCGAAAGAGTTATCCAATTAGTTCTATTTTTCCAGCTTCTTGCTCATAATCTTATCAATGAACATTTCCAGAGAGGGAAAAAATAACTTTTTTGGAAAAAAGAAACAAACTGTATTTCCCTAGTAAATACACGGCATATGTTATTCAAATGGAATTTTCTTATAAACCTTCAGCAAAGCTTTCCAGTTGTATTTACTTTTCAGTTTGTTTAATAGCATGTTTATTCAAATATCGTATTGATATTAATTCAATGCCCCTCTCTATTCTATACATTAAAATGTTTTGCAAGAAAATAGTTCAGCCTTGGGAAGAGATAGAAATCTACAACAAGTGACTCAACCTTTACCTGATCAGAAATTAGTTATATTGTGGAAGTAGACAGAGGGAGGATGCGGCTAATTAATTTGATGCAGAAGTGTATACAGTGTCACATGCATTAGCAAAACCTTCAATAAAACACATATGGGGCTATATGAAGATAAGGACCAAGGTTTTGTGTGTGTGTGTGTGTGTGTGTGTGTGTGTTAATGCTTGGAGGTTATCCTGACATTACACATTCCAAAAGGATGCCATCATGCCAGAACCACAGATTTGAGTAATGTGAATGTTGGCAAC